CGGAAGGAGAACAAGCTAGACTTGGTCTACTCTGACGTTTGTGGTCCCCTGGAGGTAGAGTCATTTGGTGGCAATAAATATTTTGTTACCTTTATTGATGATGCAACTCGGAAGACTTGGGTATACTTGTTGCAGAATAAAAGCCAAGTTTTCAAGTATTTCCAGCAGTACCATGCTATGGTGGAAAGGGAGACAGGGTTGAAGTTGAAATGTCTCCATACAGATAATGGAGGGGAGTATACCTCCAAAGAATTCAGAGACTACTGTTCCAAGCATGGCATGAGGCATGAGAAGACAGTTCCTGGCACACCACAACACAACGGTGTTGTTGAACGGATGAACCGTACCATTGTGGAGAAAGTTCGATGCATGCTAAGAATGGCAACTCTACCTAAGCCATTCTGGGGTGAAGCAGTCAACATAGTAGTTTATTTGATCAACCGGCCACCTTCAGTTCCTTTGAATTTTGAAATCCCGGAGAAAGCTTAGACGAGAAAGGACGTTGGATACTCTCACTTGAGAATGTTCGGGTGCAAAGCATTTATGCATGTGCTAAAGGAACAGAGATCAAAGCTGGATGATAAAGCCATTCCATGCATTTTTGTTGGATATGATGATGAGGAGTTTGGCTATAGACTATGGGACCCAGAAAAGAAGAAAACTGTTAGAAGTAGAGATGTCATGTTTCATGAACACGAGAAAATTAATGATTTGAAGGAGGAAAAAGCTACAAGAAGCTCTGGAGAGGGTGTAGAAGATCTAACACCGGCAAAAACTCCTTCAAGAAAAATTACAAATGAAGAAGAGGTGCAAGCACCAGAAGATGAGATAGAGGAGCCAACAATTGAAGAAGATGAAGCAAGTGTAGATGGGGGAAATGATGAGCAGGGGGAGCAACCCCTGCCACAGGAGGAAGAACCTCAATTGAGAAGGCCCACCAGAGAGCACAAACCACCTACAAGATACTCCAGTTCTGATTATATCTTGATCACTGAAGAGGGGGAGCCGAAGAACTTCCAGGAGGTGCAGTCTCACAAAGACAAAGACTGCTGGATGAAGGCTATGCAAGAAGAAATGAGCTCCCTACATGAAAACAATACTTATAAGCTTGTGGAACTTCCTAAAGGAAGAAAAACCCTAAAGAACAAATGGGTGTACAAGCTCAAGAAAGATGGTGACACGATAGTTAGATATAAGGCTCGGCTGGTGGTAAAGGGCTTCAGTCAGAAAAAGGGGATTGATTTTGATGAAATATTTTCCCCAGTGGTAAAGATGAGCTCAATTCGCATTGTGCTCGGTCTAGCAGCAAGCATGAATCTTGGGCTTAAGCAGTTAGATGTGAAAACTGCGTTTCTTCATGGTGACTTGCATGAGGAAATTTATATGGATCAGCCAGAAGGTTTTGAAGAACAAAGGAAGGAGCATATGGTTTGCAAATTGAAGAAGAGCTTGTATGGACTAAAGCAAGCTCCAAGACAATGGTATAAGAAGTTTGACTCTTTTATGATGAGTCATGGTTACCAAAGAACAAATGCAGATCCATGTGTCTACATCAGATTATTCCCTGATGGCAACTTCATTATCCTTTTGTTATATGTTAATGATATGCTGATTTTGGGACAAGATGTTGAGAAAATTTGCAAGTTAAAAGAGGAGTTATCAAAGTCCTTTGACATGAAGGACTTGGGACCAGCAAAGCAAATTCTGGGTATGGCTATTACCCATGATAGAAAGGTTGGGAAGTTGTGGTTATCACAGGAGAAGTATGTTGAACGGATGCTTGAAAGGTTCAACATGAAACATGCTAAGCCAGTTAGCACTCCTCTTGCAAATCACTTCAAGCTGAGTAAACGATCTTGTCTAACTACCAAAGAAGAAAAGGAGAAAATGTCATCTATTTCTTATTCTTTTGTAGTCGGTTCACTGATGTATGCAATGGTATGTACACGGCCAGACATTGCTCATGCTGTTGGTGTTGTGAGTAGATTCTTGTCTGATCCAGGCAAGATTCATTGGGAAGCTGTTAAGTGGATCTTCAAATATCTGAGAGGTACGACCAAGTTGTGTTTGACTTTTGGGCAGACTGAACCAATTCTGAAGGGATACACAGATGCAGACATGGCAGGTGACCTTGATAATAGAAAATCTATTTCAGGGTATTTATTCACTTTTGCAGGGGGAGCTGTATCATGGCAATCAAAATTGCAGAAGTGTGTTGCCTTGTCAACAACCGAAGCTGAATACATTGCAGCTATAGAAGCTGGTAAAGAGATGCTTTGGATGAAAAGATTCCTTCAAGAATTGGGATTGAAGCAGAAAGAGTATGTAGTATTTTGTGATAGCCAGAGTGCTATAGATTTGAGCAAGAATACTATGTACCATGCTCGAACAAAACATATAGATCTGAGATATCACCGGTTGCGCTTGGTGACAGAGAACAAGAAGTTTCAACTCAGAAAGATTCACACAAACAACAATGTTGCTGATATGATGACAAAAGTTCTTCCCAGGGAAAAGTTTGAATATTGCAAGAAGTTGGTTGGGATGGACTCCAAGTAAGGAGTCAGGATTTATATCTCCTCGCATGGGGTTGGAAGGGGAGATTGTTGGCAAAAGCTTCTAGTTCCAGCCAATTTTTCTACAGCCTATTGCAAGAGGTTGTAAGCTACAGCAGCCATTGTGGAAATTTACAATGGTTATTTCAACCATTGTACATGAACCTCATTTAATGAGGTAGAAAACTTGCACCGGGGTAGTTGGGTTTTTTACCCTATAAATACCCATGCAATGGCAAGGCAAAAGCAAGC